GCTCCATCTCAAAAAAAAAAAAAAAAAAAGAAAAAGAAAAAAATTAATGAAGAATGCAGACGTTGGTTTGTCCTTGGAAATCCCATCGCTCTGTTGTCTTCTTGGCAAACTCCTACACTTCCTTTAAGATCTCTCAAAGCATCACCTCCACCAGGAAGCCTTCTCTGATGGCCTCTATCCTCCAGGCTAGGTCCGTAGTCCCTTCTAGGTTCCCACAGTGCCCGTGTTTCCTCCATTTTCACTTATATCTCTGTATTGGGATGGTCTGTTTCCTCCTTTAGACTAAGATGTGTTTGAGGGCGGAGACTTACTATTATCCATCTCCAGGTCCCCAGCATAACCCGGAATAGGATCTGGGCCACCAGAATCCTCAGAAAATATTTATAAATAAATATACAAATGAAAACATGCTTTTCTCCCTCTGCTGAACTCCAACTTATGCTTTAAAACTCCCAGCCAAATGTCTCTTTTTCCAAATGTTTTCTTATGACTCCTGCAGAAAGTCCTTTATCTCTCTATACTGGGCTCAAACTTCCATGATCACACCTGCTGGCCTATAATGTGACAGCATAGTCCCATGTCTATTTCCTCCAGAGAACTTCATAGGGCAAAAACCCCACGTAATTCATCTTTGGATCCAGCCCTGAAGAAACCCCTCAGAAATACAAGTGAATCACGCCTTTCCACCCTTTTAAGAACTCCTATTCAACCTTCAAAACCCAACTCAAATATCCCCTTTCTATATTTGTTGAATAAGAGGACTGAAGGTTACAGTCCCTGGTCAATGGGGACTGAGGCTGGTGGGGGTGGTCAATCGCACTCACCTGCAGGAGCAGCTTACGGTAGCGGTCATTGAGCAGCTCTGAGTTGCTCTGCTCCTCCTCCAGCTCTTCCTCCAACTGCCCCAGGCGCCCCTCCAGCTGACGCTTCTCCTCCAGAATGGCTGCCCTAGGGAGACAGGAAGGGGTGGGGATGACAGGACAGGACAGTCAGAGGTGGGTACCTTGCCTGTAACACTATAGGACCCTGTGGTTGGCCCCACCCTCCTCCCCAGCCTCATACCTCAGGGGTCCCTAGGTTAACCCCGCCCACCTGCCAGCTTCCTGTGCCAGAGCCCAGCCATCTCCAGCCTACCCCAGCTTCACCTCCTGCAGATGCAGCACCTCAGCCTCCACACCCTCGGGGCACTTACTTGCTAAGGTTGCCATTGGCCACCTCATCTGCCATCTCATCCCGGTCCTGCGCTGCCTGCCGCCGAGCACGGTCTGAGGCGGCCAGTTCCTGTGATGACAGAGAGAGGGGTGGCCAGTGGGGGTGAGGAGAAGCAATCTGGGCACGGGTCTAACCCCCTCTCTGTCCCTCACACCTCAAGTCTCTTGGCTCTTTTCTCATGCTGTCCCTGGGTAACCCTGGAATGACATCCACAGATGTCTCCTAAATCTGTCTCCTGAGCCCCTGACCTCTTGCAGCCCAACCTCCAGGCCCCTCACCCTCTCCACCTTTTACTGCACACAGGTTCTCCTCTCAAACCTGCCTCTCCTCCAGGGTCCCCCAGTCACCGAGCCAGACCCCCAGTGCTCTCCTCCCCTCCTCCGGCCCCCCTCACCATAGCCTCCTCCCTCCTGCCTTCTCACTGCTTTCTCTGTTCTCTGCACCTGCTTGGCCCTGGCTGAGGGTTCTCTCTCTCTCTCTCCCCGTTCCCACTCCCCCTCCCACAGCCTTTGTGCCTCCAATCTCCCCACTCCATTTCAACTGCTACAGGGCTGACCCTACCCATCCTCTGTTCTGGATCTTTCCATGGCTCCCTAGTGCCCTAGGACAAAATTCCTGCTCTTAGCCTGGCATTGGAGGCCACACGGTAAGCCCAATCCACCTCCCAAGCCTCACACCCAGGGACCCTGTGGTTAGCCGCACCCCCCAGCCTCATACCCCAGGGTTCCTGTGGTTAGCCCCGCCCACCTCTCCAGCTTCACACCCAGAGATCCTGTGGTTAGCCACGCCCACCTCCCCAGGCTCACACCCAGGGACCCTGTGGTTAGCCCCGCCCACCTCCCCAGCTTCCCACCCAGGGACCCTGTGGTTAGCCCCGCCCACCTCTCCAGCTTCACACCCAGAGATCCTGTGGTTAGCCCTGCCCGCCCCCAGCTTCCTGTCCCAGGGCCCAGCCCACCCCAGCCTCACCTCCTGCAGCCGCAGCACCTCAGCCTCCAGGCCCTTGAGGCGCTTTTCACTTTCCCGATTCTGGGAGAAGATCTCCTCCCGGGAGCTGCGTGTCTCCTCCACCTCCCGCCATAGCTCCTTCATCTGGGCCTGGGTGGGACGGAATAGGTAGACGGGCTCAGCCTGGCCACACAGCACAGGGAACTCCTCCACCCCCTTGCCAGGTCGACAGGGGCTCCTCAGCTCCCGTGAATAAGCAGGGAGTTCTCCGAACCCTGCAGACCTGGGCTCCTGTGTATAAAGCCACTTGCTGTGTGACCTTGGGCCAGCCTCTCCATTCTGGTCCTCAAGGGAGGAGGTTGATCTGGCTGAGCCTAGAAGGCAGCTGGAAGCCTGATGGAGCCTGGCTTCAAGTTAGACGTGGGTTTGAATTACAACTTGCATATCCTTGCTGGGTGACCATGAGCCGGCCACTGCCCCTCTCTGAGCCTCAGTTTGCCTACCGTTTATTTATTTATTTAATTTCTATTTTTACTTTTTTGAGACAGTCTTGCTCTGTCACCCAGGCTGGAGTGCAGTGGTGGGATCTCAGCTCACTGCAACCTCTGCCTTCTGGGTTCAAGTGATTCTCCTGCCTCAGCCTCCTGAGTAGCTGGGACTACAGGTGCCCACCACCATGCCTGGCTAATTTTTGTATTTTTAGTAGAAACGGGGTTTCACCATATTGGCCAGGCTGGTATTGAACTCCTGACCTCAGGTTATCTGCCCACCTTGGCCTCCCAAAGTGCTGGGATTACAGGTGTGAGCCACCGTGTCTGGCCAAAAAACCACAGGGTATTTTCACTTCAAAAACAAAAACCACAGAGGCGGGTGGATCACTTGAGGCCAAGAGATCGAGACCATCCTGGCCAACATGGCGAAACCCCATCTCTACTAAACATACAAAAATTAGCTGGGTGTGGTGGCGCACACCTGTCATCCCAGCTACTCGGGAGGCTGAGACAGGAGAATTGCTTGAACCCGGGAGGCAGAGGTTGCTGTGAACTGAGATCACATCACTGCACTCCAGCTTGGGTGACAGAACGAGACTGTCAAAAAAAAAAAAAAAAAAAAGAAAAGAAAAAAGTTTTGTACATCAAGACCACAGCAAGATGGTTTTATCAGGATAGAATGTACTAAGATCAAACCATTGTACTCCAGTCTGGGTGATAAGAGTGAAGCCCCGCCTCGACTGAAAAAAAAAAAAAAAAAAAACTGAACAAACAAACAAAGAAACAAACAAAAAATGAGGAAATTTGACTTAAAAGTGCAGCATTTTAAATGAAAGAAATGTGAAATATAAGAAGGAAGCCAGCCTCTGGGGCATGGATGTTTATAAAGGCGCTGACCCATGTGGATGCTGCCTGTGGGGAGAGGGAGGGGTCCGAGCTGGCCTCAGACCCTGGAGTGATGGTCGGGGCTTGAAGATACCAAAGCCTCCCTTCCCTGGCACGGCTCACGCCCCGCCCTTACCTGCATTTTGCGAAGCTGCTTCACTGCCTCCTCCTTGCCCTGCCCGGCGGAGGCCATTTGAGCCTTCAGCTCCTCCAGCTCCCCCTCCAGCTTCTTGCGGGCAGCCACGGCCAGAGTGCGCTGTTTCCGCTCCTCATCCCGCTCCACCTCTGCATCTCTCAGCTGGAGAGGAGGTCAGGAGGGACTGGGTCAGGGACAGGAAACCCAGCCTCCCTCTGTGTGCTAGGGACATAGATGTCTACCCTGGAGCTCCTGCCCAGGCTGCAAGCCCCGTTCCTCTCACCCCCCGACTCTCCTTACTTGGTCCCCTCTCTATCTCCACTGCCCCAGCTCAGTCCCCCATCTCACCTAAGCCTCCTTTCCAGCCTCCCATCTCTCCCCTCCAGCCCATTCCAACACGTCTCCAGAGCTGACCCTACTCATAGCCCTCCCATGGTTCCCCAGTGCCTCCAGGGCCAAGTCTTAGACACTCAGCCACGTCTAAGTCAAAGGGGCTACTGGAGACAAAACCCCGCGGAGACCCCTGGCCTTAGGTCACCCGTTCACCTCTCTTCCCTGCCTCCCCAGCTTCTAGCACCCTCTTCCCCAAGTCTGTTGCCCACATGGCTCCAGAGGGGTCTTATGACACCCAGAGCTGCCCCTGCCCCTCACCACCTAGTAGAGGGAAGACATGGGAAGTTCCTGAATGAGTAATTAATGAACGGTGCAGGAGGGGAGAGAGCAATGGAATAAACAAGGAAGCGAGGGAGCGATGACTGACTGGATTGGGGAAGGATACGGATGGAGGGGAGGGCAGATGAGCAGGTCAGTGAGTGAGTGACTGAGTGGAGTCAGGAGGGGGTGCTGAGGGCCTGGGGTTGGGTAAATAGGGGAGGGGTTGGGTTGGGGAGAGGAGATGGGTCGGAAGCGGGTAACTGGGTGGATGGAGCAGTAGTTGGACATGGCATTGGCTGGGTATTAGCGCTGGTTGGGGGAGAGGCTGTATGTGGGTGGTTGGGGTGGTTGAATAGATGGGGTGGCAGATGGATGGATGAATGGTTTGGTGGATGGAGGATGTATGATTGGGTACAGCAACAGGTCAACAGGATATGTGTGTGGGTTAATGGGTCATGGCAGGTTAACAGGTTGGGGAATAGGAAGATGGTTTTGTGGGAGGAAGATGGTTTGGCTGGCAGGAGAGACTGGTAGAAATACTGAGTGGCAGGCGGGTGGGGAGACACTGAGCAGTGGAAGGGTGGGGGGAGACAGAGTGGTGGGTGGGGAGACGCCTTGCTGACCTTCTTGCTGCCTGTACACACCATGGCATACCCCAGCTGGACCGGCACCCTGTGGCCTTCCGTGTGACAATACCTGCTTGGCCAGCTGTCTCCGCCTCTCTTCACCAGCCTCATCACGGCCCTGCAGGTCACGCTCGTGCTGAGTCTTGAGAGCCTGCACAGTCACCTCCAGACGCAGCTTGGCATCCTCGGCTGCCGTCAGCTCATCCTCCAGTTCCGTCACCTGTGCTCGCAGATCATTGGCTGCCTGTTCTGCTACCCGGCAGGCTCGTTCCAGCTCATGCACCTGGTGGGGAGGGAGAGTGGCTGCTGGGCACTTGGGTCACTGAGGCAGAGGAGGTTACCAGCCTAGGTAGAGTAGGGGAAGCTTTGATGGAGGACGGGGAGGTGGCAAGTCAGTGTGCCCATCCTAGTTTGTTCATTCATCCATTCAAAATCTACTGAGCGACTCCTTCCTAGGTGTCTCATCCAGCATCATCCGAAAATGTATTTCATGAATAACTGATGCTTCATAATTCTATCAGCTGAAGCACTTCAAAGTCTAATACAAGCATCTGTTAGGTCAGCTGACTCTCACTCATGGTGGATTATTCCCTCTGAGTTTTGTAATTTTGCATTGTGAGCTCACTCACTGGGAATTCATCTTTGGGAATCCTGTGTGAATGGGTCAAAGGCAGGTAGCTCCACGGTCATCGGTGCTGGTGTCTGCCAGACTCCCCAGGGTGTCACCAACCTACTATCTACTTGTATTGGGTTTTCTGTTTGGGAGGGTCCCCGATCTTTCAGGCAGGTATGAATTAAAACCCCAAACACTGTGAAAATAGAGCTGGGCTTATGAATTTTCAGAGACTCCCCCTTCACTCCTCTCCTTACTTAACCATCACCTCCTCAGGGAAGCCTCTCTTGACCCATCAGGGCCTCTCTGCTACCCATGCTCCTGGCACTGGGGCCCCTCTCGTATCTAGCCCTAGTCACAGTGGTCATTTGACATTTGCTTAGGTAGCTTTTTGTGCACCACCCGCCTCCTGCACTGGACGGTGAGTTCCACAGAGAAGGGCCTATGTCTGTGGATCACCACTGCCCACATGATACTCATTACAATTCTGGTCACTGACAGTATCTACTTTCAGTCCTTGGAATGGGCCCTCTAGCCTCCCTTCCTGTTTGGTAGTTGCCAATTTATTTTGTTTACTTGAAGGGATCAAACTTTCTTCCCATCAACATCCTGTTTCCCACAGGGGCCTTTGGAGTCACTACAAATAACGACATTTTTCCCAAGGGACAGACCTTAACGGCTCAAGTAAGAGCCAGGTTTTAGCTCCATTATCCCTAGGGCCGCAGGCCAGGTCTGCGTCAGGGAGAGAGGGCTCTCTCCAGGCCTGGCTAAAAGCAAAATCAGATCAACGTCTAAGTGTGTGGAGAAGATAAAGCCCTCATCCATTGGACTCCTAGAAGCGCATTGGTGGGAAAATAAAGAAATAAAGATGTTGAGATGGCGTCTATTCAGGAGCTCAACAAATTCTGCCAGTGCCTCCCATCATTAGTAAGGGTGGCCTGTGTCCCTGGGTATGATCCATAAATGTATTTAGAGGATGAATGAAGGAAGGATGGAGTGGAGGATGTGGCGGGTCATTTTGACCACTCGGAAGGCTAGGACACTGGTTGGGTGAGGAGAGCCTGGGAGCAGCCTTGGGGCACCACCCTACAGGCCCTGGAGGGATATATGAGTTCAGAGAAGACAAAGGCTTGGTGGGAGAGTCTATGTGTGCTCAGTGGGGTTGGTGGCAGGCAAAGTGGGAGTCCTCACACTGTGTGTGCATGTGTGTGTGTGTTGTGTATGTATGCATGCACATAGTCATGTCTGGAGAGTGGTTCTCAGGCTGTGTGTTGTAGTAAATTGTCTTCATCTTCTCTGAGCATTCACACATATGTGTGGTGAGTAGTTTTCTCATGCTGTATGTGTACATATGCACATGAATATGTGTATTTAATGGAAAATCCTCAGCAAGGTACAATGGCTCATGCCTGTAATCCCAATGCTTTGGGAGGCCAAAGTGGGAGGATTGTTTGAGCCTAGGAGTTCAGGACCAGCCTGGGCAACACAGCAAGACCCCATCTCCACAAAAAAATTTTAAAAAGCCAGGTATGGTGGAATGCACCTATAGTCCCTGCTACTTGGGAGGCTGAGGCAGGAGGACTGCTTGAGCCTAGGAGCCTGAGGTTGTAATGTGCCATGATTGCACCACTGCCCTCCAGCCTGGGCAACAGAGCAAGACCTTATCTCAAAAATAAAATAAAACAAAACAAAAAACAAACAAAAACAAATAATAGAAGATTCTCCTCATATCCCACATACACAAATGTGAGCATGTGTGCTTTGTGAGCAGCTCTCGTGCTCTGTGTGTGAACACATGTGCTGGATGAAAGATTCTCCTCACGTTCCGTGAATGTCTACACAAAGACCTACCTCTGGTGAATGGCTCTCCTTACTTTCTATGCATGTGCATGAGCACACATATTTGGTGGAAGATTCTCTGCATGCTGTGTGTGTGTATCTGTGTGTGTGTATACAAACACAAATGTTTGGTGAACAGTCCTCCTCTTGTTCTTTTTTTTTTTTTTTTGAGACAGAGTCTCGCTCTGTCACCCAGGTTGGAGTGCAGTGGAATGATCTTGGCTCACTGCAACCTCTGCCTCCTGAATTCAAGTGATTCTCCTGCTTCAGCCTCCCAAGTAGCTGGGATTACAGGCATGTGCCACCATGCCTGGCTAATTTTTGTATTTTTAGTAGAGATGGGGTTTCACCATGTTTGCCAGGCTGGTCTCAAACTCCTGACCTCAGGTGATCCACCCGCCTTGGCCTCCCAAAGTGCTGGAGTGCTGGGATTATAGGAGTGAGCCACTGTGCCTGGCCCTCTTGTTCTCTTTGTGTGTGAATATATGACTTTGATGGCTGGTTGTTTTCATGCTCTATGGGTGGAAGCATACATGCCTGTGCGTGTCTTCCCCTCACCCAGTGTGTCCCGGGGAGTGGGGGCCCTGCTCACACTCTTGCCGACGTCATCCTTGCTGCTCAGCAGTGCCTCCAGCTCAGCTCTCAGCGCCCGGTTCTGCCGCTCCAGCTCCTCACGTGCCTCCTGCTCCTCCTCCAGTGCCCGTGTCAGTGACAGGGCCCGAGCCTCACGCTCCCGGCCCTCTGCCTCGGCCCGCTCACGTTCCTCCACTGCCCGAAGTACAGCTGCCTTCTCCTCTGCCAGAAGCTTCCAGTTTGAGGGAGATGGGGTGGGGGGAAATAGATTAGCTGAAAGGAGTGTACAAGGGAACGGGAAGAGGGAGCAGCCAGGAACAGAGAAAGAGAGAGAAAGAGACAGACAAAGGCAGAGACACAAGAGGGAGGTAGAGGGATTAAAGTTGCAACCGTGTCCCAAACCAGCTCAACTCTTGAATGGATCAAACTGATCAGTCCCTAACTCTATGCTCAACAGAAGAAATGGTATTCCTTCCTGTTAAGAGTGGCAGTAGAAAATGAACGTCAACCTTTACTGTTTTTTTAAGACACAGTAATTGGCAAACAAACTTATAAAACATGCAAAGAAAAGAGAACAGGACTCATGGTGAAGAGAAAAATCAGTCCATACAAACAGACCCACAGATGACCTACATATTAGAATGTGCACACAAGGACTTCATGATGAGTTTCAGAACGAGGCAGATACAATGGGTGAAGAGGCAGAGTTATTTCAGGAGGGATTTGAAACTGTAAAACAGAACCACATAGAAATGCTAGAATTGAAAAATGAAATAGCTGAAATAAAAAAGTCATTGGATGAAATTAGTAGCTGACTGGACACATCAGAAGAATCAGTAAACTTGAAAACAGGTTAATAGAAATTATCCAAACAGAGCAAAGAAAGAAAGAAAGAAGATTGTAACAAAAATTAATGGAACTTTAACAACCTGAAAAAAGTACCAAGCAGTCATACATACATGCATTTGAGTCCTAGAAGAGTAAAGAAAAAGCAAAGAAAAGTAAAACTGCCTTTGTTCACAGAAAACATGATCATCTATGTGGAAAATTCAACGAAATATATAAAAACTCTGTTAGCACTAATAAGTGAGTTTAGCCAAGATTGTAGGATACAAGATCAATATATAAAAATCTATTGTGTTTCTACATACTAGCAATAAAATATGGAAATGAAAGTAACATCACTCAAAATAGCCATAAAACCATGAAATACTTAGAAATACATCTGGCAAAAGATGTCAAAGATGTACACTGAAAACTAAAAAACATTTCTAAGGTATTTCAATGGACATATATACCATCTTCCTCAGTGAGAAAACTTAATATTGTTACGATGTCAATTCTTCCCAAACTGATGTATAGATTCAACACAGTTCCAAATCGGAAGGCTTTTTGTTTTGGGGTAGAAATTGACAAACTGATTCTAAAATACATATGGAAATGCAAAGGAACTAGAAGCAGCAAAACAACTTCAAATAAGAAGAAAAGGCTGGTGCAGTGGCTCATGCTTGTAATCCCAGCATTTTGGGAGGCTGAGGCGGGCAGATCACCT